GGGCGTAGGGAATGCGGGAGGAAGAGCGAGAACTGTGGAAGTGCGGCTCAGTTTGATGATTGGGGAGGAGGAGGATCTTTTGGAACACCTCTTGCAGCTCAGTTTGATGGCTTGGGAGGAAGAGCTTGAGGGGGAAGACGAACCTTGGGTGGTGGAGGAGACTGGCAAAGGAGAAGAAGGTGCAAGTAAAGAAGAGCGTGAAGGGGAAGGAACAGCTTGAGGATGATGTGGGGGAGAGCGCGAGGTGAAGTCTGTCTGTCTGTGTCTGTCCCGTCTTTCCCGTCTCTCTCTCCCTCTCCCTCTCCCTGTTCCTCTCTTTCTTGCGCGCCTGCACACTCATTGAGATCTCGAAAAGAAATGCAGGATAAAATATATAAATGCGATCTTGAAAAGAAATGCAGGATAAAATATATAAATGCTGCGTTCTTGTCTACCGAGAAAAGGAAAAAAAGCGAGATCCACTTCCTATGGACCCGTAAAATATGGGTGGAAAATCCTGGCCTCGGCCGGCGGTTTTGGGGGGCGATTCGATGAGGGAGGGACCTGTCTAACGTGTGTTCTTGCGGTACGAAATTAGGGAGGCCGGTTGGGGGAGCCAGGAGTTGGGGTGGAGGGAGGAATGGAGGCAGTAGATCAGGTGGAGGTTGCGTAGGAGGCAAGAGAAGGAAGAAGGTCAGGGAGAAAGGAGGTCAGGGGAGAAAGGAGGTCAGGGGAGAAAGGAGGTCAGGGGAGAAAGGAGGTCAGGGGAGAAAGGAGGTCAGGCGAAGGTGTAGATCGGGAGAGCGGGAGGGAGGAGATCTGGGGAGAGAGAAGTGAGTGAGGTGTAGATTGGGCGAAAGAAGAAAGGGGAGGGAGGTAATCGAGAGCAGGAAGAAGGTCAGGGGAGAAAGGAGGTCAGGCGACGGTGTAGATCGGGAGAGCGGGAGGGAGGAGATCTGGGGAGAGAGAAGTGAGTGAGGTGTACATTGGGCGAAAGAAGAAAGGGGATGGAAGCTGGGATGAAGGGGGAAGGTGGTAGAGAGAAGTCGGGCGAAAGGGAGGGCGAAGGGATGGAGGGCGGAGAGGGGGTGGAGCAGAAAGGGAGGAAAGAGCTCTGGCGAAGAGAGAGAGAGAGAGAGAGAGAGAGAGAGAGAGAGAGAGAGAGAGAGAGAGAGAGAGAGAGAGAGAGAGAGAGAGAGAGAGAGA